ATTGGTTTCTTACACTTTTAACACGGTCGTCATGAATCGTTTCGTTTTGTTGTGCAAGTTTTTTCTATTCATAACATTTCTTGGACGACGTCGTACTAGAGCACAGCCGACTTAACAAGGTTACGTAAATAAGGTTCTGTTGTGCATTGCTACAGGTGTAACTCAGCCAAACTAAACGCAGAATTGTCAAAGTGTCATGCAGTTCTATTTGTTCTCAGAGGCTGATTGAACAGATATTGTATAGGCCACTGATTTCGAATAATGTTCATTAGGCGAATACAGTTGAAGTATGACTCCCCCCTTCCATCGTTTTTTGAGACGCATATTTGTTCAATACTCAGTTATGTCATATACGATGGCTTCCTATTAAGGTGTTCGTATTTCATTTAAGTGTAATCTTATTCAGTAAAAAGAGGGGAAAACTAGTGATGTGTTTAGCAAGCAATTCAGGCAGAATCCTTAATCCATCGCACCTTTTTACTAGAGACTATTGCTAGTACTCCCACACAAAGAGGTGCGCACACAAAGCCCAGGAAAACAGAAAGGATTATCGCAAAAACTCATTCAGAAGCAATCTGTATCAGCGTCCCTCAGGAAAACTGAAATGAACAACGAAATCAAAAATATGCAAATGTTTTCAACTTTGCTCTTTCTCGATGATCTTTTGTTCAATTGAAAATTATCTGCGCGTTCCCAAATCGTTATTTCAGTGATTCTTTCAGAGTTCAGTTCTCATACAAGAACCAGATTTTTTAAAACCCAAGATTGCATTGGGAAGTGCGTTTGTGTTATTAATAGCAACGCCTGCACTGTTGTATGAACAGCACTACAAAGTGAGAGTTTTTTGTCATAAGGAACACAGAAGTAACAAATGAGTGCGGTTGTCAACGAACAGAGGAGAATGATATCCTTAGGATTTCTGCGTTTCTTAGTCGATTGTCAGTGCCTAATGTACGGATGTGACCTTCAGGTGTGCTGTCGTGTAATTTGATTCGACCCATACGTTGGTGGGTGCGAAATCGTTGACGTTCCGTACCTACGGCCCGTTTACGACAACGATAACCCCGTGCATATGCTTTGAGGTAGCCGGCGACATTAGATGAGACCGACTGCATAGCGATTTACTGGACGATGCAAAGTAAACGGATCGTTTCCAACTTCACTGATACTGATTCCTCATTCTATCATCATCTCATTCTCCCCTAATCAGTGCCTTTTTTCGCTACATTTCCTCCGATGTTTCCAGTAGCCTCAGGGAAGAACGTGAAAGCGTGTTTATCCAATATCATGTGAAATAAATTAGACCTTGCATATTGATCCCAAACGCCGAAATAATCCACTTTCCTTTATTTGCGATTTCTTCAGTTATGAAACCAGTTGTGAATGATCGCTTTACAGGAATGAAATGTCAGAAGCTTCAACATCGTCGAGCAGAAGTGTATGTGTTGATGTTAAGAAGAAATCGAGACTGCTACATGAGGCGCTCTCAAAAGCCACTGCTGCTAGAACAAATAAAAAAGGGCAAGTAAGTAAAACTTATACAACAGAGTTTTCTGTGGCGCAGGTATCTAGGAATGTTGGAATTTGGTGAATATTTCTTTCTTTGTTGATAAAGTTTCATGATTTTTTTCCTCTCCATGTGAAGAGGAAAATCTTTATCTCAATGGGAATTCCAGAAAGTATTGTAGCGTTTTATGCGATTTAAAACCCAGAATTAGTCATACCTAAAATGCTTTACGAATTTGACCAGCTCTCATATGTTAAACGTCTCTTCACTGTTTTTTTCTTTGTTTTTCAACCAATGTGAGCTACTACTGGTCAACAATCTGACTACGAGTCTTCCTAGTGTGAGATAATTTTTCATTGTTCTCTAAATTCCAACTTTACTGTTTTCCTAACACCAGTTCAAAGTCGTCTAAAGTGGCCAATCGATACGGAGCGTATTCGATTTATTAGCACTTAATAAATTTCCTAAGCTGTAACGTTGTTCACGGATCGGTCACTGAATTAAATTTGTCACTCCTTTAGAAAACACACACACACATACACATACACATACACACATACATACACATACACACACATACGCATACATACATACATACATACATACATACATACATACATACATACATACATGCATATATACATACATACATACATACATGCATACATAAGTACACATATCACATATGCACGCATCTATACATAACTCTAGACTCGCAACATGCAAACGCAGATAGAAACGGACACATTCACACACGTACATGAACACTGTTTGTCTCAGTTTACTTGTCGTTTCTTTTTTTTTGACGGTATCCGTTATATGGAACATATGCAACATTATTTTTGCACCGTTGCACTTGCTCGTTGTCCGAATACGAGCGCCTGCTGTTCAACACGTGGATCTGAAGATGACGTTTCTTTTCGCTTCATTCTTAACAGATAAGCGCCGCTTAGCGTGATTCTCAAAATGGAATACGAGTAATTTTTTGTCGGCTACGTACTTCCTGGTTTCTTTTCCCGGCAATAAAAAGTATTTCTTGAATAACTAGAGGGCTTCAGGTGTTCTTGTGAACATGCGGTGTGTTACTATGGTCCATTGTTCAAAAACGTTGTTGTCAGCAATTGGAAGCATTTAGACCCCATGTTTGGTCTATTTTGTTTTTTATATCCGTACACTCCATATCATGACCATGGCGATTAAATAGTGATTAAAATAAGATAAAAATCAGTTGCTATGTTTATGGACTTTTTCAAATAAACGACGTTTGCAAATCAGTAAGTGGAGAGGTTGATTTTCGGATAACACCCCTGCTGTTTTGATCTGTTTCTAGTTAGCTATCGAATAAAAACACATAATTCGGTGGAAACGCTCTGGAAATGCAGTGAATTGAAGTTGGGTACTACGGTGTCCATACTGTCTGTCATGGGATAGCGAAGAAAAATCATTCATCGCTTGCCAGTCGATGAACTCACTCCCCACATCCCCGTTACCTGGTTAGTTGCCTTCGTTCTCCAGTATTTGAGCAGTGATCGAAGTTTGTGATGTTTTATCATTGTCGTTGCCTAAAAGATGTTAATAACACCACATCTGTAAGCGGTAGAGAAATATTCGCACAGTTGACGCCGTTTTCATGAGATGTTATCTCAATTTTTTATGAAATACTCACTATTTCGCTTAGCACAGTGGCTTGAGGTGCCTAGCAATGCACACATGCTCATTCTTTGAATCCCAGACCCTGAGCTAACCATGTACCCCGTCCTTGCGTCTTCACCAAAGTGGTATCAGAGCTTGTGGGTGGGGATAGGGAATGATAAAAATACTGACGTGATGCATCCATCGGCAGGCTACCGTAAGTCATTCTAAAGGCGTGAATGTGCATTCAATCATCTCTAACGATGGCCGAAGAAGTCAAATGCACGGCGCTTCCCTCAAGGGCTGGTCAACACGAAATACTGCTCTATCCTTTGGTCTTCATTCATGAAAAATATTTTGGCCTTAAAATACAACCACGACGACGCTGAAATATTTAGAAAACTTGATCCCAAGGCCTGATCGAACCGCGATTACTCTTTCCGGGGTTTCACGTGTTAGGCAAGGTGCAATTGATACCATCATTCTACCTTCATCTCAGCGAGTCTTTTACCCTAACGGTGCCATCAGTAATTCTCTATCAATGGAAATGATCTGGGGTGCAAAAGTCATTAAACCCAGTTAAGCCGAGACTGTAGCCGAAATCACAATGTATCACTTTTATGTACTGCCCATTATTTTTTTTGGCATTGTCATGCATACCTCTGAAGAGCCTTTGATTTCTCTCTCTGTAAAGGACATATTGGACGAAAATTTTTTAAAATGGGCTTGAAAAAAAGGATCTTCACGCAACCACCTGATTTCTTCATTAAATCATCAGAGGTCACGAAACGGATCGAAATACAAAGCAGGTACAGCTGCAGTTAGGGAAAGTTTGGTCATTCTGGGAAGCACGGCTTTTTTGTTTTTTCCTTCTTTTTTTTCTTTTATGCTTTGAGGAATAATAATATTGCAGCGTAGGATTGTCACAAATTTGTTTCTCTGTTTTACTTAAAACTTAGACTTTCGAAGAAAAACGTATTGAGCGTATCTTGTGCAGTAATGCACTAGAGAGCCTGGCATAAAAAATATTAGAATTTAGAGGTGATTTTCCTGTGCTAAATGAAAATCGATGCATATTGTACATCTTTGAATTTCTGCTAATTTTAATGAGATATCTTCACTACAAAATATGGCTACATTCATTAAGAAATTACTTTTAAAATAGCACAATTTTCAAAAATGCTGCACTTAAGATGCAGCAAGTGAAAACTCACCTAGGCTTGTTAATTCCTCGTCAGTAATAAAATCTAAGAAAAACAGTTCTTTCTATTTTAGCACGGCATGCTTTATAACCAGCGAGTATTGCCTTGAGGTGTCCTGCTAAATACACGTTTTCATAAGAGCGATAAGTTTGGGCTAGCCAAGCTCCTACACCCATCGCAAGCCGGTAAAATACTACCAGTCTTGCCTATTTGGAGGATAGTAACACCGACCTGGTACAGTGGTAGGCAAACCGCTGTATAGGTAAAGTATGCATTCAATCACCTCTGCGACGTATGAGGCAGTCAAATTCAGGGCGTTTCCCTCAGAGTTTGGCCAACATCAAACCCTTTAATCACTTGCTCTTTGTTTGTTACTAAGTCTAGAATTCTGCAGAGATTTCTCTCCGAGGCCATGAACTCTTCGTATCTGAAAGAATGGAAGAAAGAACTCTTCAAAATGTTAGTGCACCATTTTGCTACTAAGATGAAAACGTTCATTATAAAAAATATAGCCGATTTACGGTTGATTGAGCAATAAAATGGCATTTAGGATTAGTTAGCTAAAACAGTGTAACTTAAAGAGAAACCTGCTTTACCATCATCTTTTATAACAGTTTTCACCATCAATATCTGCCACATTTCGGGTTTTGTTAAAGGTGATGCAACCGTTTGGGGCGACAATGGAATGCTTCGATGGTCTCGCTTCACCTTCATGTATGCCGAAAATGAGCGACACGGAGCGGATCAAATGTCATCCTCTTATGCCGATTTTAGAGGTATGTCGATTTTATACTAAGTTTCACATCTTACCAGTGAATATTTACTGCAGCTTTCAGTTAAAGAACCAAATAATTCAGTTATTATGCAAGAAATGCGGTGATGCTACTCATACAATGCAGCCGATGGCGTTTCAAATGAACGACGTATGCCAGGTTCGTTAAAACAAAATAGTTTAATAAATGGTAATGGTACCAAAAATCACTCGTAAACCTTCACGTACAAAGTAATGAATGACCTAATGTCGAAGAGACGCTAAGCAGATTTGGCACAACAAACGTAGAAATTTCACTCGGTTTGGATCTTTTCCTTGAATGTGTCTTCTCATACAGCAAATACTAGAAGAACTACAGTAATGGGCACTGAAAGGAGTTTAGCTGAAAACAAACCAGGATTTTGTTTCCACTGTTTCGAATTCCGCAACTAAACACACCTCCATTGCTGAAATGTGAATACGTTGGATCACGTTGGTGAGAGGCATCTACAAGAATTACAATGAGTTAATGAATAAATGAAAGAGAAATATATAAAAGGTAGCTGCCTGGCTCATGCGTCTTCTCATATCTACCGTAGACAGTGTTTATGTTACTTTCGAAATTGTATTGTGGGTCACCGAATCCTAACTGAAAGAATGTCATTGTGTCCTGGGCATGAATTCCACTTAATGTCTTGATCAGAAATATCACTACAGATTTATTTCCATATTTGTTCTAACAAAAACTTAATTTCATTTAAGATGTAATCATCATATTTATTGATTACTTTCTATCAGTGTTCGGATAGACATAGGTTTCTTTTCTTTCAAAACTTTGACGGCTGGGATTTCCGACGAACTTCTTGAGAACCGGATTGAATCATCAAAATTTTCAATACGCTTGCTTTAAAGGAAAGAACCGGAAGGCAGGAAGTTTGGACTAAACACAGGATGTGTAACTATTGCTAGTTGAACGTCTTCATATGTTAATGAACCGTGTAAACCACGTATGTTCGAACGTTGCAGGAGAAAAACTCTACGTCGTCTCCTACCACTTCTTTCCCACTGCACCAGTCAGTTCGTGCAGCTCATTTGTCTGAACACTCTCGGGAACTCGCTTATCTTTTAACAACAGTTTGAAATGCAACTCAGAAAAGCCTTGTCGGTCTGATCGGTGCTGGCTAACATGATAACTGGTCTGAGAGCTGATAGTTGTCTACTCTCAGCAAAAGCAAGGGACAGCGCATTTCGGCGTGGTAAAGCATTCACAAGGCCCCTGTTACGAAGTTTTTTAGTGAACTGTTCTTCTGCGCGTGCAATAACCTCGACAAGTAGAGAAAACCAGTGAGGTTGATTATCTGTCCACCAAGTTGTATGTAGTCCATCGAAGCAGCACAATAGAAGAGCGTCTGCAGGTTCTTCTTTACGAGTGGCCGACAGAAGCATGCCCTCTCCATCCCAGGTAGTGCTAGTGGTGCTTCCTCAGATGAAGCAGTAATACTTCACCATCGGTAATATCCTGTTAGCCTAGAGCTTCACCGGTGGCAAAAGGCACAAGCAAGTAGGACACGGTGGAATCGTGAACGGGTTTTTCACCCACCGCACTGTGTTGTTTGCACTTTTGTTCTTCTTTCATTGCACCCTTTTGCAAATTCTGAAGGGATTTCAAAGAACCGGAATCTGAAATATTTTACGAATCAGTGTGCCGGAACTTGGCGAGTCTAGGAGCCTTTTAAAATACGGGAAAATAATTCTTTCAAAGCTCTTTGGATTCCAGTTTTTTTTAATTCCATTTTAAAGTTCCTTCCTAGTATTGCAATTTGAATTTAGACCTCTCGCATATTCAACATGCTTATTATTTGAGAATATCTTTTGATATGCTGCGATCAGAAATAAAAGAAGCTCATCAGAATATTAACAGCGATTGTGAAATCTCAATTCTAACTTTTTTATTTGCTCTCTTTTTATGCCAGCGTATAATGCGAAATGCAATCACAATGATGCTAAGATAATTACGAAACTCCGGGCTGCAAGTGTTTGCGGTGGGGAACGAACGAGCTATTACGTTTTCTGGGGGCTATCATGTTCACCATCACACCATTCAGGTCTTTCGTTTCGCCTGTCTCTCAGCTAATGACTGTGAAATTAAACGTATACCAGTTTTTCAAACCAAGAAACTGTTTTGCGTCAAAAGGATGCTGAGATATGAGCACAAGCTGGAACCTTAGTTGGACTTCGAACCCGCCTTTATCCTTAGCCGGTGCTCACGTGCTACCCACCAACGCCAACTGATGCTCTTGCAAAATAATTTTCAAACCGATCTTCATTTAACCCCGGTGCCAAAGAAATCAGCATGTCTTTAAACTGTTGAGCTTACACGACGTTGATAATGAAATTTATTTCGGCTAACGGTTCGACGCCTTCATCTTCATCAGAGCCGATGATATGAGTCCATGGTCCACAGTTGTTCGTCTTCTCGATGTGGCGTCTTCGTAGTCGTATCGATACCAGTCGTCTTCACCGCACGAATGAGGCGTGCCCAGCTGGTGGTGCACTTTTATGCAGAGCAGTTGTGTTGATATAACTATCCATTGATAATATTTGTTTCCAACGAATAATCCACCTGGCAGCAGTCGATATTATGTTTACTATCATGTAGCGAATAGCAAAACAATTGCATTGCCCATTGCTTTTCTCTCAGCTGCGTTTCTACTCTTTCGGCACAATCAACAATCATCCATCGGCGAGAGTGGTCTAGAAGCGCAAATGGGCATTGAACCCAGTTAAGCTAGCGAAGCCCAGCTATGATTCTAAGTTTGTCTCATATCATTGATAGAGATATATACTTACTTACTTTGAACGGCTCGTCCTCACCAGTTGTGCGAGCCCTAGCATAACCATCATTTTTCGGAGATTTGCTGGTTAAGCCATTATGGTTCCCTGGAATTCTGAGGACAGTCTGGCCAAAGTCTGTCCCAGGTCGTCACCACCACAGGCAGTCGCAGTCCTTGTGGATCAGAGGGAGATTTGCCACCATGCAACTTTGATATCAGGACGGTGGTGGATCCTGGTATTGGTTTACTCTTACCTAGGCGTTTCCCGATGGAAACGCCGGACTCCATCTCAGCTTTGGATGTACAGCGGGGGACGAATCCCCCCGCTGTACTTCGCAGTCTGACACCCAGGAACACCATCCAGCCACGATGAGGCGGTAAACCGTTGGGAGAAAATAGATATATAGGTTATATATATCTATATCTATATATATATATATATACATATGTACATATGAATATCAATAGTTAATGACAGATTGTAATCAATAGATAGTGACAGCTTGCACGCTTTCTAATGTCGCATGACCGTTCTTAAACTAGAAGAGAATTTCTTAGCACTTACCTGATCTGTGGCGCTGAGAACAATGAAATTTCGTTCTGTACTTGTTTGTGTGCGCAATGACGATGTTGGTAAGAATTGTTCTTGTGCTACGAGTTCATTTGGTTGCACCAATTCTTCAAACGTGGTCTTAGTAGGTATTGCACTTCCAAAGGTATTTCCAGAAGCCACGTACGTCTGAATTACGGCTTCTATGGATTAATGTTTTTTTATCAGAAATAAAAAAGCCGTACCGAAGTATCACCTCCCATTGTTGAATGTAACTCTGCAGATGAAATAAAGCTTGAGGCGAATGTAGATGTAGAAACGAAAGGCGCTGGGGAAAATTTTGCAGATATATCATTTGTCTCATCTTCACGTCTAGCACTCGATAATGATGTCACTGTTGAGGTTCTCAAAAGTGGACTTATTGGATGATAGTTGGCAGCTGCTAATGAAGAACCTCTGTCATAAATGTAAGGACTTAAAGTCGAAGTCGCTAAGTCTTGTGGATTGTTAAAGTTGTGGCCTGGTGAACTTTGCAAAGCGTGTTGGAATGGTGTCACTGTTAAAAGTAAAGGTGCTGAAGACGGGAATAGTTGAGCTTGAACCCAAGAGTCAAGCGTGGCTACTTTTTTGTCACTTTGTTCAGGCCAACCATCATATGATGTGCCCTCGTTTCGATTTGGAATGTTAGAAGTGACGAAGTCTTCCTGACTAGGTTCTGAAGCTGTAGTTATGGGAGATAATGGAAGCACTTTGCTCCTTTGTCCCTGGTGTGAGTTTTCCTGCCTCTGAGGTTCATCAAAATTTCTTGTTGAAGGAAGAACTCCAAGTTTTCCAGGCGATTCTTGTGCAAAATGTTGAATGTTTTCGTTGTAGGAAGCTGGTATCTGTAATTGGTGAGGAGAAACTGCGTTAGGAGCTTGAACTTGACCTCTCTCTCCCGATGGTCTTGAGTCATCTGCAATGTCACCGTTGGCATTGTCATAGTGTTGCTGCGAGCTCTGCCGATATTCTTCGATTCCGACTACATTTTCTGCGTGGTAGTTGTTTGGGGATTGATTTATCTGTTTTGACTTATTTACCATGTGATTTGGAATCATAGTGAGTGTGGGATCTGATTCAGGTGTCAAATATGGTAGCCTTATTTGAACTTTGGTGTTTGAGCTATTGTATCTTCCGTTGTTCACTGGAATTATGAGTTCGGGGCGAACATCGCCCAAATTTTTTTGATTGTTCACAATTAGGTCCAAGTACAGAGGGGAGTTACCATATTGGATGCTATAAAATGGCATAGAACTTTCTTGAGAGTTCGTATACGGATTCTCTTGTCCTAACCCTGTGGGAGAATTCGAGTCTGCGTCCATTTCTAAGTGACGTGGTGATTTGGTCAAAAACGAAAACCTATGCTGCAACGGAGCTGCACCTTCATCATTGTAAACCTGAAAAATAACTGCGCAAACGACTTTTTTAAAATTAGTCTGTTTTTTAGAATTTGTGACCACTATTTCACTGGTGAAAATTTCTTGTTCTTACCTGACCATTTGTGACCGCATTGAAGAACATTTTTGTGGTTTGTCTAGCAGGACCTATAAAATGAGTGCGTTCCGTCAGGTGCTACCCACTTTCAAAAGTAAGTGTTTATCCTCGTACGAATTTGAGGTTCACCAATTACGAGTGAAAGAAAAGCGAATTCCGATATAACATCTCAATGTTAAAATTAAAAAAATACGTACTACTTAGGGCTCCATACCACACAAGAACATGGGGTGCTTGCGGAGGCTGAGAGAATGTGGGACAACAAGTTCTTAAATGAAAACCCATTACTTAAATATGCTTATGGTTTTTATATTTTAATAGAAAAAGATGTAAAGTAAGTACCAGTATTCTAATATTGTAATAGGTGTACGACAATATTACCACATCGCTCCAACCTGAGCTTTCGAGAACTGACAATAACTTCTCTCAATCGTCAGAGCACTCGAGTAATCGAGAACATATTTATAGGAGACATCTTGCCCTTTTTCCCCAGTCTTGTAGATATACATATTTATTTATTCACAAAAGTATCTTTTAAATTCTAAGAATATTTAGAACCGAACCCCCAAAAAAGTCGAATCGAAATTTGGTTTTTCTTTTTGAGAACTTCGATGGAAGCACGACACACGTAATACACGAAAGACATAAGGGAACACTAAGGTATCATCTGTTTAACGAAATCCTGTCTCAGTTGCTTTCGTGTGCGGAATAAGAGACATTTCAAAAAAAGCGAGAAGGGCTGTGCTCCAGAAAATTAAAATTTCACCTAGTTAGTGTTCTTAGAACAATGTGGGATCTCGTAGTCAACGATCTACAGATTTTGCACATTTTTCACTTTAAAGTTCACTAAAAGCAGATATATGATGGTTTAGAGCTGAAAAGGGCTGGTGTAGTGCAATGGTTAGAGGTGCCTGCAATGCCCATGGTGCGATACCGCGTTCGGTGCTCACCAACCCTCCATCCCTCCCAGGTTAGCAGATCGGTACCAAACTCGTTTGAGAGGATAGCAACACTACTTTGATATTGGTTGCCAGCGCAAGTCATTGTATACACTGGATATTCACTCAGTGGCCACTAACAATGCTTGATGAAGTCGAATGCATAGTGCATTTCCAAGGGATTGATCAGCGCACAAAGCTTTATTATATGTCCTTAGAGCTAAAACGGGCCATTATTTTCGCATCAGGTGCATGTGAATGGGCGTCATATGTTAATAAAAAATAACTGCTGGAATAGTTATTTACCCACCGGTGAACTCACCTCTGGTTGTTTGTTGAGTGCAGTTGCCTGTTTAATAGCTGGTTAGGAACTTTCACAACATTCTGTACATCACATCGAATGCATTGTGAAGTGCAACGGATACTGAGAACCTAATGCAACAAAGAATCGTAAACTAAATCACTGCGCTGTTTGAACATATTTCTGACCAGTAGCTATACTGGTAAAAGAAGGTTGCGGACCACTTGAATCGACAACCACCAATGATGACTTTTGAAGTAGAGTTCTTTATCAATGGCGGTGTTTGAATTCACGAAGAAACACCGACGAAGCGAAGACAATCAATACTTTTAGGAAGAACGTAGATAAGAAATAATTTGCATGACACCATCGTGACGTGATAATGTGTAATTTAATAATCGGCTATATGTTAGTTGTTAAGAACCATAACGCGTACAGAGAACCAGGTTCAGCCAGTTGTCTCCATCAACTATGCAAAACCGACAGTTAAGTCCGACTAAGCTGTTAGGATGAAAGCATTGAAAGAACCGTACTATATACTATAAAGTTTCTGTTAGCGTTTAAGCAACCAATGATCGGTAAACATGCTGACATTGCAAAGCAACTACCAACCAAAAGCCGAACTGTTTCTTTAAGAAGGTTACAGCGAACTCCAAACACACATTTCTTTAGAAAGTAAGAACTTTTGGTTTAAGACGACACACCTTCAGTTCCGATAAAGAATCATTCCACTGTTATTGGCTCAAATAGTCCAAAACCTGTCAGATTTACATCGTTGGTATTAAAATGTAATGAATTACAGACATGCACGTTTGTTTGTGAATATGAAGTATGTGAATTTCCCTAACGATGTAGATATTCGCAAGATTAGGTGGCTCGTCTCAGCACGACAGATAAAAGGTAAAAATGAACAGAACGTGTCCATTTAATTATCCTGAAACACAGGTGGATTCGTAGAATGAGTGCTCTTACTCATTGTCAGTAATGGAAAACAAGAAGGATCAACGTAGACTTTAGATCAGACATAGATCTTGGACAAGCTTCAAACGGCAAGTACCGAATTTCGATTTTAGAGAATGTGGTGAGAAAACAGCCCAATGAGGTGAGTAACGATATTATATTCTGTACTTCTAAGTACTAGAATGAAGCCTGTTTCGATAATTTATAAGAACTTCGTACAAAGTGGAAAACTTACTAAAATCGAGATGGCACGTAGCGTCATAATCATGGTATGAGCGTGCACGCGCAAGGAAGCACGCTGGCGTTTCTGCTTCCTCGTCCTCCCACGCCTACCGGAAATTCCGGAAACCTCAAGTGCGACATAAGTTACACCCTCGTCTTTCAGTATCAAACTTTTAAGAAATGTAACATTCTCGAAGAACACCAAACAAAAGGAAACATGAGAAACTCAAGTAAAGTATAATTCACAAGTGGTCAATCGTTTTCCGACGAATTTTCTATGTAAAACGGACTGCGAGTAGATTACGATCCAGACTTCATAAAAAACAGTGACCTGCGTGAGTAACCGATACACCAAGCTGGTTTTCTTATCCTCCCAGACAATTTTGGAACCAATCTGGTGACCAAGGGTCGATATGCGCTTGGTTGATCTTTAGGGAGTCGAGCAAATGACTTCTTGTGTGTTAAAGAGCACTTATGATCACTATGCTGAACTTGCCATTAATTACCATTAGAGGAAATCAAACTAGAAAATAAGGAATGAACAGGTGTTCCTGTGGTTCAAGATGTTTACTGTAAGTGTTGATTTTTGCGGAATTTTCTACTTGCAGACAATACCACATTAGAGGTTTTCTGTGTTATCTCCTGTTTTTCAAAACTTCGAGTTATCTCTTCAATTTTTTTATCACTCGGAATACTTCACTTGTCCAGCTCTTCACTTTGTTCTTAGTAAACAAGCAGAATGAAAGCATGCCTACTGTCAATGAGATATAACTATTTATGTTTTAAGGAATATTTCCTCTCAATCTTTTTGTGCTATTCAAACTGTTTTGTCTTCATATTTAAAGATTGAATCCGTTCGACAAGCCACTTTTAAAGTATATGTACTTTCTTGCTGTCTTCTTCTTTACAATTTCAAGCGAAATCCTACCTTTAAAGGGCTGAATGGAAAGGGATAACTGGTTTTCGACAGGAGCTGCGGAACTGTTCAAGAAAAGAGAATGGCTGTATTGATCATTCAGAAGAGTAAAGTCAATAACCGCACCAACTCGACGTCATCAAGCTCTCATTTTGTTTGGAGAAACCCTGGGTGACAAAATTTCGATCAGCAAGCACCGGTTACTGATTATAAACTTGGCACATTTGTTGGAAATGTCTGAAAATGGTCACCTCACGCCATTTTCGTAGCGATCATGGTAAGCATCAAATACAACTTTATATATCTGGAGGGATCAGTTTCCATTTTGAGGCTAGACAGAACTTGCAAAGTAAAGTCCCAGAACAACTAGGCTCACTGATAAACTATTTGAATAATGCTTGATATTAACTGAATTTCCTTGTAGTCGCACCTAACAATAAATTGTGCTTCTTTCCTGGTAACTGCTGATTGAAATGAGAGAAGTGAAAAATAGATTTAGATTTGAAGACAAGAAATCTGCGGCTCTCTAATTCTACTCTGCATAAACTTGAAATTAATGTCCTATAGTTAGTCGTTTGATTCTATTCAAATAAGACGTAGACAAACTTATTGCCTGTAGTCGCGAAATCATTTCATCCTTGGACTGTGGAACGCTGCAGGGTATTCCTACTGAAGAATATGACGGAGGTGAACATTCTTCACATGGGCGTACAGAACTCGTTCCCGGTTAAGAATTCTTATATTTATATTATATTAAAATTAAAATCCATTTATACGCTTGTATAGATCCAAAAATTGTTCAGGGTCTGATTTTGGTCCCTAATTGTCTCAGTCACTTCCGTGTAGAGATGGCAGTCGTGTAAATAGTAAAATAATTTTTACAGCTTCGAAAATTCTTCGCTAAAAAATATTAGAAAAAAAGCAATTTTTAGTTATTCCGTAAACTCGACTCCAAAGGAGTGTCTACGAGGACAAACAATGAGAAACTCGACAAATTTATGAAGGATGCAATTATCGTTCTCCGAACTCATCTCAGCGAACTGCAAAAGGTGGCCTCACTAACTGAAGACTTCCATACGAAATATTTAAGTGAGTATTTTTTACATGTGATCAGAAGGCATATGTAAGTGTAAATATATATATATACTAATATGAAATATATATGGCCCATATGCATTCTTTCTTGATAAGCTTGCACGAGGTTGATAAATATATTTATTTTCGGCTAACGTTTCGACGTCTTCGTCTTCCTCAGAGCCGGTGATCTGAGTCGATGGTCCATGCTTGTTGTTCGCCTCGACGTTGCGTCTTCGCCTTCCTGTCGAGCCAGATCTTCCTCAGCGAGCCATCTTCTCGAATGAGGCATCCTCACTCAGTGATGCCCTTTTATACACGATGCTGATGGTGGATATATAATGATAATGTCCGGTGGTAACAACTTGTATTTCTTCCGGACATACATCATTGCGGACGTCGTGCAGAAGTCGGTGTTTCATCAGCTAGCACTGATATTGATACTGATATTTCGAAATATTACTACGCTTTGTGCCAGCTGATAAAACACCGACTTCTGCACGATGTCCGCAGTGATGTATGTCCGGAAGAAATACAAGTTGTTACCACCGGACATTATCATTATATATCCACCATCAGCATCGTGTATAAAAGGGCATCACTGAGTGAGGATGCCTCATTCGAGAAGATGGATCACTGAGGAAGACCTGGCTCGACACGAAGGCGAAGCTGCAACGTCGAGACGAACAACAAT